AAACATTTTCTTTAGTGGGATGCCCCTTCTTGATAATTTGTGCTATCCTGAAGCAAAAAATAATCACACCTATTTATAATGAGCAAAGATGCATCTCCACGGGCAACCCCAGTGGATATGGTTCTGTCAGACACTATCGACCATATTTTGCAGATATAATTTCCTAACTTACAAAAATCTATCTCAGATGATCACATGAGCTCCCTCCTCATGCAAACTTAACAAGTAGAGATTCAGATTATAGAACCACTACCCCCGTTACTCCTTGTCTAGGGAATTCACAACATGGTCAGCTTGTATATACTTTGCTTGCATATTTGATGTCAATCATACCAAATAAAGATATAACCGATGCAAAAACCTTTGTCTTGCCCATGCTTTAAACTATTTACGTGGAAGGACCACTATTATATTCACAACAATTATCATTTTACAGTAAAGCTAATTTATAACAACATTCACTAATGATCTAATAAGTGATAAAAATTGTGTAACTAGCTGTGGGGGAGGTACATATATATAGTTAAGATAATGTCTCTTCTCTAGAAAATCATAGTACTACAATATACGTAATACCCCAATTGAAGCAGGGATAATAATCACATAAGGGCTATAATGGAGATACGCATGAAGTGCTATCAGAGCACAGAGGAGAGAATTAATTCTTACTTAGGTGTGGGAATCAAGGAAGGCTTTGAAGCAAATGATGAATATGAGCTGAAACTTTGGAACTGGTTGGACTTTGACATGCTGAGGCGGACCTAAAGGGATGAGTGGCCTAGGTATAGTGGCAGGGGGTGGGAGGGCAGGCAGTAGTGGAGGGAGAGTGCATTTGAGTAAAGGGGAAAAACATCCAATATAGTTTCCTCTTTGCTGACTGTCACACATTTTTAACTTTGTAGGGAAGATGGAAGAAAATCGATTGAACCGATTGTTTTGGCTTTTCTGATGTGATCACAGCATTGCTATATGGGTTGTCAAACAAGGGATGAGCTCATAAAAGGATATTAATGTGTCGTTTTTATTGAGCAAAGTAGCATTACAGAGAAGGTGATTTCAAAGGCACATGGCTCTTTCATTACAGCCTTCAGGGGCAATGTTTGATCACTGAAAACAGGCTGCTTTGTTCCAGCTTTCTCTGATGTTTGGCATTATCCCAAATACATATGCTCTGACTTGGAAAGAATCAGTTTGTAAAGATTTAATAGATTTGAGATTTGCATATTCAAAATACATGTTTTATGGCTAAAATGAAATGAAAGCCATTTTAATATGTGTGTCTACATATACACAGATATATTTCAGACACACATCTCAGCAATTTTTTGAAATGCAATTACACATATTATGTGTTCGTTTTGAGATAATGAAAGTTGGCTATTTTTAAAATTCACCATTTATCACGAAGGAAAAAATATATTTTAAGACACGCTATATTGGTGATAATAAAGTACAAGATTTCCAGTTTTAGCAACTTGAGCTTTGCTCTATGTCCCTGCCACCTATCATAGACGTAACTTTCTAGTGCTGAATGTCTCTGAACACTTTCTTTATTAAAAGTGAGGTATAGGTTTCTTGGTTGAAGAAAACTGGAAGTCACAAAATATTAAAGGGAAATTGTAAAAGATTAGCATTTACACGATACTCTTTTCCTTATGTGACTGAAAGAAGGGAGCTTTTTTCTTCCAAAAGGAAAGACTTGCTTGGAAAAAGACCTGAGGAGTCAAAAGCTTATGGTGACTGAAACTCATGAAACTTCTTTTTATAGAGTTCTCTGGCTTCTATTCCAAGTGAATTGATATGAAATCTCACACAAATTTATCTTTTCATTTTGAATTCCAATTGAACCTTTAAAAGAAAGATGACATTCCAACTCAGCCAATTTGATATACATTACATCTACAATTAGATATCCATTGCATTGAAATTAACCCTGACAGAATTCAGCTGAAATGGGCTAGGTTAAATTATATTCCGTTTAATGTGACAAAGAAAAAATTTGCTATTTGCTTCTTTACTTAAAATCCTTCCCTTTCCATCTCTCCACTTACAACATCCTCTGTCTACCTAAATGACCCCCAATGCTTTCTCTGCTTATCACTTTCCCCTCTCTGTTAGTTTTGCAACAATTTCAAAACAGAGACTATTTTGTTATCCATTTGTTGCCTATGCCAATGTTCACAAACCTTAATGTACTTATAAATCATCCAGGGATCTTGTTAAAAATGCAGGTTCTGATTCAGCAGGTCTGGAGTGTAAGATTCTAGTAAGCTCTCAGGTGATGCAGTGGACCAAGATTCATACAGCAAACACTTAAAGTACAAATGACTTGTCCTTAAATGTGTTCTTGGACTAATATAACTGGAAATGTAGATTCTCTGACTTTGAGGTTGCTTCATACTTTGAATTGCCTTTTTGTTTGATAATTTCAGGATTGCTCTGAATGATCTGGACTCCCTCTACTTCTCTAGTCTCTGTTTTTACCACCTCCTCTTTCTTACTTTACATTTTAGATGTAATAAAGATCTTGACGTTTCCAGAATGTATCGGGCTCTTTCACATCTCAATGCCTTTTTTGATACTATTTCCTCTGCCTGTGCTGTCATCCTGTGACTCTTCCTTTAAAACTCAGATCTGCTGTCTTCTCCTCCAGGAATTCTTTCCTGATCTCTTTTTCATGTAATTGCATAATTAAATGCCTTCAGTATACTCCCACAATGCCCTGTATTTCCTTTATTACACCTTTCTTATAATCTGTTGCAATTGTCTGCTTGATTGTTCTTTCCCTTTAAGACAATGCTTCTGGGGGGAAGAAGTAATGCATTTTATCCCTGATTTCTATTGCCAATCACCAACACAGTAGGTTTTTTTTTTTTTTTAGTCAAAGTTTGCTGAATGAATGAAGAGGAGAAGTTGATGTGTTGTAGTCATGCAAGAATGTAGTGCAATATTTCTTCTCATGAAGTTTAAAATTGAATTGGGAGTCATAAAAACTAAAACTCATAAAAAGTTAAGTACAGGGTGAGATAATACTAAAGATATAAAATGTTAGTATGTGATTAATTGCCAAATGAGAATCATAGCAAATAACCATTCTGAGTCCATTGGAGGAAAATGTCACTGTGGATTTATTAATATTTTTAATACCTCAATTTGTTCCACAAAGGACTTGAGCCTGCTGATAACACTATGCATTAAAGTTAATGAAAGTATGAGCACATATGTAGTTAAGGGAATCGTATCAGAAAAGGAGAGGGCTATGAAAATATATACAGCAAGTGCTCGACTTACGACCATGATTGTTCCGACAGGCCGGTCGTAACACGATTTGGTTGTAAGTTGAGTAGGCTATATGCACGCGGAGATGGTAGTGCTGCCGGAAGCTGGTCCACAGTGTCGTACACCCAGCCGGGCAACGTTTGCACTGCCAGACGCGGAGCAGTCGTGGGTAGCGATTGTGGTCGTAAAGTCGAATGGTCGTAAGTTGCTTAGGTCGTAAGTCGATCAATACCTGTACTCAAAACTTGAAGAATTGATAGACTATCCTTAAGATGTATTCTGTAGACGTATTATTCTTGTCTGCAAAAATGCTTCTTACGTAGATATGGACAGTAATGTGGGTGTGCTGGGTTTTCATATCCACTCTGCCTGGGATGCTGACTTCGGTGGGGACATTAGCAGCTCCCTTGTCCTCTGTCTTCTGGCAGAATTTGGCTAATGGGATAATAGTGAGGTCAGGACATTTATTTTCTTTGGCTGCTTAGAACTGCTGTGCCTCTTTTTAAAGATGGCCCCTGTGATAAACCTCCTGAAATTATTCTAATTTGAGTGTGCCCTGTTACCTACTGGGACTCTGATATGGCCCCAGAATTGTTGTTTAGAGCTAGATTGGATGCCAGTCTTAATAACTTTTCTGACAACCATGAATACTGTAAAAATGTTTTAGGTGCATGCTGTATATCAGGAACAATTCTGTGAGGAGTTGGCTCAATTCAGAAAAATTCAGAAAACAAACAAGCAAATCTAAAACCCTGTGCTCATATACTTTACACTTAGTATGGCAAAGACAACGTAAACCATCTTGGAGGTCAGGAAAAATTGGTATATTTGAAAGCCCACAGTTCTATAATATTTATTTGTACCAGCCTGAAGTTTAGCATTGAATTGTAAAGCAATAATGTGCCAGAGATATAGTTTTTGGGTTTTTCCCCTTTCACTGAGGGTAGATTATCCAGAATTTTTGCCTCTGCTCTTGCCTGTTGCTCATCTTCTGGTTATTTTATTCCTCACTGTCCTTCCATCAGGGAAAAAAATGGAAAATAAGTGAATGAAAACTTAGCTGTAGCATCTATGATAAAAGGTTTGTCGAGAAGGAAACTGAAATCCTGACTAAATCGAAGCTTTTCAGTTTATCTGGGTTGGTCTGCCCCCTATTGCCATAAAGGTATTCAGAATGGTTTCCAGCTTGTCAAAAACAGAGAGACAAAAATGGGCAAAAAGTTTTACTTTCATGCTAATAAAGAGAGCCAGATCTAATAAATAAATATGATCCTCTTAATATGAAGCCCTGGTGCGCACAACCTCTGTCTTTTTGTCCCTGATTGTATGAAAACCTTGTTTGCAGTCGTTACTTAGATCATTTTTGAGTCATATGAGCTTAATTTTGTGACACAGCAAAAACAGATCATAAATCTCAGTAGTGGACAATATGTTTGTAGTTTGACCTTGGTAAGATGAACTAAGGGTGCTGAATAAACCATAAATTCAGTTTACAAAAATAAAGAAAATAAGATTTATTTTTACTTGGTCCAGTGGATAAAGTGAAAATCTGATATTTTTCTGGTCCATGTGGTTCATTTTGCCAAGCTTGATTAAATTCCTGTTTAGCAGGTAACTAAGAGAGAAACTGAATTAAAACACTTTATATGAAGCTTTTGAGTCTTCTTTGTTCTCCACTGTTTTCTTTTTAAAAATCTGTTTTAAATTTTCTTTCCTTTTAGGCTCTATTTATGAAATGTTTGGAAATGAATGCTGTTTCTCAACAGGAGAAGTTATTAAAATTACTGGTCTCAAAATTAAGAAGATCATAGCTGAAATTTGTGAGCACATTGAAGGTTGTGAGTCTCTACAGCCATTTGAACTGCCTATGAATTTTCCAGGTACAGTGTTTTGCAATGACGTATCATTTATGCAACTATATTGTTGATATTATATGTATCTATACAACTGAAAACAAGAAAAAAGAGGTCTTTTTTCACTCGAGGATAATGAATGAAAAAATCCAGAATTATTATAGTCTGATCATTTTAACAATGAATGGATGGCAACTATTTTCTCCTTTTTTAACGTGAAAGATGTTTACTTTTTACTTAAGATTAATCTTTTTGGTTAACAAACATTTAGTGAGTTTCTACTATATACATCACTAGTTGTGCTAAATAATGAGAACCAAGAAATCAAAGATACATTTTCATAAATTCTGTAGAACTAAGTAACGTCATTTAAGCATATCTACCTTCTTTGCTCTTCCAGCTGTCATTACTCTAGCTCCTTGGATCACTGTTGACCTTCCATGTCTAGTATTACTGGGAAGTCTGCCTGGTCTTTTTTATCTAATTGACTCTACTTAGCCTTCCAAAACTAGCTCAAATTTCATGCCATCTAGAACACTTTTGCTGACCCTCTAACCTAATTTGGATTTCTCTCTTTTGTGTTCCCATATTATGTTGGGCCTCATACCATACACCTCATTGGATAGTCATTGATGATTTTTTCATTTGCCATATTTTTTACACTAGGTGTTGGCAAAATTTTTCTATAAAGAGCCAGATAGTAAATATTTTAGGCTTTGTGGCCAGAGGGTCTTTGTCACACTTATTTCGCTATGCTATTTATGTTGTAGCACAAAAGCAGCTCTGGATAATATATAAACCAGTGAGCATGCTATGGCTCAATAAAACTTTATTTTAAAAAACAGGCGACCAACAGGATTTGACTCGTCAACTGTAGTTTGCTGACCTCTGCTGTAGACTAAAACTCCTTGACATGAAATATGAACATGTGATTTTGTATTCCTGATAGCAAACACAATTTCTGGCACAAACCACACTCAGTAATTGTTAACTGAATGAATGAATGACTAGTGGAAGAGAAAAATCTCATAAACATTTACAATATAATGATTTCATGGTATGTTGGAGGTATACTTGTGTTCTATGTGGGGCTTGATAAGGAATATCAGTCTACAGTTGGTTGTGTTTCAAAACAGGGATTCTGGAGCCATCGTACTTGAATGCCAACTTTGTCACTTCTTAGCTGTATAACTTTGGCGAGTTATTTACCCTCCTTTCATGTAAAATGGGAATAATAATACTATCTATCTCCTGTTATTGGGAGTGCTATATATTGATATATGTTTAGTGTTTAGAACAGCACGTGGCATATAGCAACAGGCAGTAAAAAGTTTCAACTTTTATTACCATTATTAAGATATTATTACTATCATTGGAGGAGTCGGGAAAAGCTTTTAGGGAATGTTTTAATTGAGCTGAGGTTTGAAGAATGAAACTATATTAGCTATATTGAAGTGAGGATTTTTTTCAGGTGCTCTAGTATCCAGTCCCCTTTCAACTGAAACCTTACCCAATTGTTCAATTCTATTTCTTCTTACCCATCTTTTATAATAATGGTTCTCTAATTTGGCTGCACAACCTAGGGACCTTTAAAAAATTCTGATGTTCAGGCCACTTACATGAGATATTCTGAATTGTTTGCTCTGTGGCAAAGTCTGGGCATCAAAATTTCTTAAAACTCCCAGTGTGAAACTAATAAGAAGCCAATGTTGAGAACTATTACTTTGTAAGATGCCTCTCTTAAGTACTCTAATTAGATGTAACAATTCCCTTTTTAAATCACTGTAGACTTTTGTGCCTTAATCATTGCATTTATTAAATTTTGCGTGTAACTGAGGTTATTTCTGTACTTGTCTGACTACCACCATCTGTCTAATAGACCACAAGGTTGCTGAGGGCAGAATCTGAATCTCATTTATTGCTATAATCCCCATGGTATTCAGAAAAAGATATACATTATAAGTGTTTAGTAAGTGAAAATGACTAGAATCTTTTGGTAGAAGGAGTTTTTCTTATTTGAACGGAGAAAACACTTAGTTTTTGGCTAACAGTTTAACCTGGGGAGTTGCTATTTAGAATACTCCTTTGAATGTTCAATTGACATAATAATCTTGCATCTATGGAGTAACAATTTGAAAATGATGTTTACAGTTTTATTGTAAAGAACAGGGTGAAAATAGAAGGCAAAAGTGATCGGCACTGGTCAGGGTATAGTTTCTTTTTTCAAGGAGAACTACTAGATAATGACAAAAGGGATCCCAGATACAGGGATAATTCTTCTACATCAGCACTAGGGAAAAATATAGAAATCAAGGACACAAATATTACTCAAAAATATTAATAGCAGCATCTCTTTATTTATACTATATTAAAAACTATTTAAGTTCCCAATTAGATTTTAAACTCAAAAAGTCAAAGAATATTTTAATACATTCTTCCTTATTTGTGAATTTATCAAATTTCCTTTTGCTATTGATTTCTAATTTTATTCTATTGTGGTCAGATGACATATTTTGTATTATAATTCTTTTAAATTTATTGAGACTTTTTTGGACTCATATATGATCTACAGGATGTGCTATGTTCACTTGAGAAGAATGTGTATTCTATTCCAGTTGGGTACGTGTTCTACAGATGTCTGTTGGTTTATGTGTATTGTTCAAGTCTTCTGTTTCTTTGTGTATATTCTGTCTAGTTTTATTCATTATTGAAAATGAAGTGTTGATGTTTCCAGCTACTATTGTTGAATTGTTTATTTTCCCTTCAATTCTATCAGCTTTTGCTTCATGTATTTGGGGGCCCTGATGGTAGGGGTATAGGTATTTGTAATTGTTGTCTCTTCTTGATACAGTGACCCTTTTATCATTATATAATATTTTTTTTCTCTAGTAGCAATTTTTGTTTTAAAGCCTATTTTGTCTGGTATTGTATAATTACTCGAGTTTTCTTTCAGTTAATATTTGCAAGGTTTCTCATCTTTTACTCTTCTACTTTCGAACTACAGACAGTCCCCGACTTATGATGAGATGATTAAAATTTTTCAACTTTATGATGATGCAAAACCAATATACATTCCATAGAAACCATACATCAAATTTTGAATTTTGGTCTTTTACTAATCATAGGCTAATGTAGGTGTTCTGAGCACATGCAAGGTAGGTTAGACTAAACTATAACGTTTTAAAGGTTAAGAATATTAAATGTATTTTGACTTATGATATTTTGAATATATGATAGGCTTATCAGCTTGTAACCCCATTACCAGAAAAGCAGATGATTTTTGTGTTTGATTCTAAAGTACATCTTTTGTAGAGAGAAAATTGTTAGATCATGCTTTTTAATCCAACCTGCTAATCTCTGATTTTTAATTAGAGTATTTAATTTATTTACACTTAATGTAATTATTGATAGTAGTTCCAAAAAACTGCTATTTTACCTTTTGTTTACCATATATCTTATTATGCCTTTTGTGTTCCTATGTTTGTCCATTCCTGCCTTCCATTCTGTTAAGTAGGTATTTTCTAGAATGCCATTTTAATTTCCTATTCTTTTCAAATAAATTATCTTTTTTTAAGAATGGTTTCAGATTCCAGCAAAATAGAGCAGAGGGTACACAAATTACTCTTGTATTCCCTGTTCTCATATACACACAGCCTCCTCACTACAAAAACACTGCAGTGTCTTTTCATGGCTTAATAGCTCATTTCTTTTTAGTGCTAAATAATATTTCATTGCCTGAATGTACTTTAATTTACATATGTACTCATCTGCTAAAGGACATTCTGGTTTCTTACAAGTTTTTGCAGTTGTAAATAAAGCTGGTATAAAGATCCATGAACAGGTTATTATGAGAATATGTTTTCTTTTTTAAATTTATTTATTATACTTTAAGTTATGGGGTACATGTGCAGAATGTGCAGGTTTGTTACATAGGTATACATGTTCCATGGTGGTTTGCTGCATCCATTACCTTATCATTAGCTATTTCTCCTAATGTTATCCCTCCCCAATCCTCCCACCCTCTGCTATCCATCCCCTAGCCTCCTGCCCCGTGACAGGCCCTGGTATGTGATATTCCCCTCCCTGTGTCCATGTGTTCTCATTGTTCAACACCCACTTATGAATGAGAACATGAGTGTTTGGTTTTCTGTTCTTGTGTCAGTTTGCTGAGAATGATGGTTTCCAGTTTTATCCATGTCCTTGCCAAGGACATGAATGCATCCTTTTTATGGCTGCATAGTATTCCATGGCATATATGTGCCACATTTTCTTTATCCAGTCTATCATTGATGGGCATCTGGGTTGATTCCAAGTCTTTGCTATTGTGAACAGTGCTGCAATAAACATACATGTGCATGTATCTTTATAATAGAATGATTTATATTCTTTGGGTATATACCCAGTAAATGGGATTGCTGAGTCAAATGGTATTTCTAGTTCTAGATCCTTGAGGAATCACCACACTGTCTTCCACAATGATTGAACTAATTTACACTCCACCAACAGTGTAAATGCATTCCTATTTCTCCACATCCTCTCCAGCATCTGTTGTCTCCTGATTTTTTAACGATTGCCATTCTAACTGGCGTGAGATGGTATCTCAATGTGGTTTTGATTTGCATTTCTCTAACGACCAGTGATGATGCGCTTTTTTTCATATGTTGTTGGCTGCATAAATGTCTCCATTTGAGAAGTGTCTGTTCATATCCTTTGCCCACTTTTTGATGGAGTTGTTTATTTTTTTCTTGTGAATTTGTTTAAGTTCTCTGTAGATTCTGGATATTAGCCCTTTGTCAGATGGATAGGTTGCAAATATTTTTTCCCATTCTGTTGGTTGCCAGTTCACTCTAATTATAGTTTCTTTTGCTGTACAGAAGCTCTTAAGTTTAATTAGATCTCATTTGTCTATTGAGAATATGTTTTCAACTCTTTTGGGTAAATACCAAGGAGTGTGATTGCTAGACTGTATAGTATGAGTTTGTTTAGTTTAAAGAAAATGCCAAACTGTATTCTAAAGTAGCTGTACT